AGCGTAAGTGGGAGTCATGTTGTTTTCGTACTGTTTATTTATTTATTTTTCTCTGGAGATTTTTGGTCAACCGTAGCCCAAAAACTAGTGTTGTAGTACTTGAAACTGGTCTTGGTCTTAAGACCGGTCTCAAGACCACTTTTTGATGGTCTTGGTCTCGTCTCGGACTCAACAGCATTTGTACTCGGTCTTGTCTCGGTCTCTGACATTGAGGACTCTGAATTTTATTCCAAGACCAGTCAAGACCACAACTGTGGAAATATCACTAAATAGCCAGATTATTGTCCAATTTATTAGTTAACATTCTTGCTTTCATTGGATTTAAAATGTAGCTACTGATTCAAATCCAAACCGGACTTATTGCTATTTACTGTATTTATTTTTGTTACTGGCTGTCACCCATCCCCACTGTCTTCACTCGCATTCACTCCAGGAAAGTGAGCAGTGCTTCTCTGGGAGCGGTAAAGGATGTCTTCAAAATTTTAAGTAAAAAATTGGCTACATTATTCATAAATAATATCATTGCAAAACAACAACAACCAGCAGAAAGCATAGAGCAACTTGTAAATTCTGCAGAGCTTCACTTTCAGAGACAATGGGACAACTTTAAACTTTTATCATCACGAACATTAACAATCTGCCTCTGTTTGGGAGCAGAAGAAAGGATTTTGCTACAAATATTTTGTGAATATTAGCTCTTTATAGAGAGCTAATATATACGTTATATAATATACGTTAGCTACAGTGGGGGGGAAGTCTTTAGTCAGCCACCAATTGTTCAAGTTCTCCCACTGAAGATGAGAGGCCTGTAGGGGGACACGTCTGGCCCTGCAGGATCTGAGTCCCTGGTGGCGTAGTGTTACTGACAGTAGCCTTCGTTACATCAGTCCGAGCCTTCTGCAGGTCATTCACCAGGTTCTACAGTTGATTTCTTTACACCTGGCTGCTTTAACCCTTTAAGCCCACAAGATTTTATAAGATTTCCTTCAGTTCTCTTGTCAGCCCTGTACCGGGCCCAAGGGTTTAATTGCAGATTCAGTCTTCCCAGCCCCAGCTGCAGGTCTTTTGTTTCTGGTGTCTTTACACAGCTCTTTGGTTTTCACCACAGTGGAGTTTGGAGTGTGACTGTTTAAGGTTACGAACAGGTGTCTTTTATACTGATAAGTTCAAACAGGTGACATTACTACAGGTAATGTGAGGACAGGGGAGCCTCTTAAAGAAGAAGTTACAGATCTGATAGAGCCAGAAATCTTGCTTGTTTGTTATTGACCAAATACTTACTCTCCACCATAATTTGCAAATAAATTATTAAAAAACAAGACAATGTGATTTTCTAGATATGTTTTCTCATTTTGTCTCTCATAGTTGATGTCTAACTATGAAGTCAATTACAGGCCTCTCTCGTCTTTTTTTAAGTGGGAGAACATGAACAATTGATGGCTGACTAAATACGCTTACCCCAATGTACATGAGTACAGAATACTCTATCTTTTAGGACACTATTTTTTAATCTGGTCTTGGTCTTGTCTCGGTCTCGCCCTCCCTAAGTTTTGGTCTCGACTTGGTCCAAACCCTAAAAGTCTTGGTCTTGTCTCGGTCTTGAGACACTGTGGTCTTGGTCTTGACTTGGTCTCGGGTTAGGTGGTCTTGACTACAACACTAACAAAAACGTCTGCACCGGTCTACTTGAAATTTGGCAGGGCTGTAGATGAGTCTGACCTACACTGCGCAAGCTAACGGTTTTATGATAGACCCCATATTTGAGGAGGGGGCTCCTTTCAAAGTGGGGGTGTATGGACATGCAAGAATGCTTATAACTCAGAAATTGTTCAACATAGAAGCTTCAGGTTTCTTTTGTTGTTTAGCTCTGATGAAGCTCTATCCATCAGGCCCACCATCAGTGCCCCCATGCCCCCAGACCCCCAATTTATCTAAAAAAGGGGTGTTTGGACATGCAAAAATGCTTATAACTCAGAAACTGTTCAACATAGGAGCTTCAGATTTTTGTTGTTGTTGTTGTTTAGCTCTGAAGAAGCTCTATCCATCAGGCCCACCAATCTGTGCCCCCCTCCTCCCCAGACCCCCAATTTATCTGAAAAAGGGGTATGGTCATAGCTCAAAAACTACTGTATTAAACATAGGAACTTCAGATTTCTTTTGTTGTTTAGCTCTGATGAGGGATTATCCATCAGGTCCACCCCCACACCAAAAAAAAAAAAAAAAGACCCCCACACCAACCACTACAAATTTGGGATGCACCTAGTAGCATGACATTTATTAGGAATAAAGACTTCTTACTTCTGGTGCATTTGTGCGTATGGGGGTCATTATGTTACCACTATGCGGTATCTAGTTCCATGTGGTAATGTCTGTTACAGAATGATGTCAGGTTTTAATGCAGTGTCGCCTGTCCCTTCAAAGAGCCCTGTGACAGTTGACAACGCAGAACTTGTGTTGCAGCTTCATGTCATTCATTTATTGAACTTTAGGACAAGATATTGGCTATTGTTAGTATGTAGGGTGACCATATTTTATAATAATATCAAAAACTAAAAGCTGCCACAAATATATTTATTTATATATTTGATTACGCACCAGGTAACAAAAACATGTACCCACACATACAAAGACAAAGACATTGCTTGTTCGCTTTTGCTTTTGGCTGCAGATTAGCTTTTGCTAACGTCAAGAGAAAAAAGTTTTGTCATCACAGCTTGATTTGCAGGTGAACTTTGTGACAGGTACGCCCAAGCAACAACATAAAAATATGTTCTTTTTCATGACCTCTTTCCTTCTTTTTTATTGCCAGCTATTTGAAATTACCATTCTGACAAATCAATTTTACAGTTTCACATGGAAGAAGCTGAAAAACAAAGCATTTACTGTAATTCTTTGCTCATCCTTTTGGTAGGGAAGAGCGGCGTCAGCAAAATAAGTCTGAAACTTTCCGTACGTAGTCACTAGATGCACGAACATCTACAACTGATTAACATTTGAAATTTTGATGGCTGCTGCAGCTAGGCAACTATATCAAACACAAAAATAGTCATAACTCAGTCATTTTTATATTTATATTTAAGGCTTAACTTTAATGGGGGAGCTGGCAGTCATTCACAACACATACTCATAGCTCAGATCTTATGAGATATAGCATCATTTCCATTATCTAAAAAAATGACTAAATATCTGTCCTTTCTCAATATGAGCTCATTTCAGTCTAAAATTCTTGCATGAAAGGCAGCGTAATACATTCCTCCAAGGGATGTAAGGACTATTTTTTAATTTTTTATCATAATTTTCACTGGGTTTACTGGAAATTTTGCCTATTAGATCTGAAAATAAATGTTTGTCCTGTTGAAACCTCAGGTTTCTGATGTGAGAAGCTTTAGAAACTTTGACTCTTTGACACATGTCAGTGTGCCAGAGAAATGGTGCACGCATGTAGCATGGTATAAAAAGGAGAAAAACAAGTCGTAGTCATCTGATACAAAGCATTTAACTGATAACCATCAGTCATAAACACGCCTCATAAAACAACCAAAAGGAAATCAACAAGGGAAAAAAACATTTAAATATCACTCAGCTGCCGGGTAAAAGCTCTGGTTATTTGTTCCTCTGGACTTTGATTTACACTCGGTGGTAGTTCGTCACAGAAAATACAGGAAGTCACTTTGAAAAACCTTTAGATTGAAAGTGTGCACAAAAACATGACAGGCCAATGGATTTATTTGAATGATTTTCAAAAAGTTCAAAGTTTAAAAAAAATCTTTATTTCAAAACAGACATAAAACGAACGAACAAAAAAATATGTGTATATGTACACATGAATATTCGTATTGGGCAACTTACAAGACCATCTTGAAAAGGAGTAGGTTGAAGTAAAAACTTTTCCTACCCCTTTCTTATTCTTCAAAAGATTAATGTAGTCTTAGTTTTAATTGTTGTGTACCTTCTTATTTTACATACACAGCTGTCTCAATTACAGCAGAATTTAAAAATAATAGCTTATTTAACACCCCAGTGTTTCACTTAATCTCTAAATACCATCAACATCGACCAAATAACAACACAAAATATTTTTGTATCTTTTTTTAAACTGATTTCTATTTTTACATTGCTTCAGTTCAACATTTAACCCATTCAATAAACCTACTCCACACACAGACATAGACATACCTTTTCTCGTGGCTCACACACTTGAACTCTGCTCCTAATTTATAGCCCCCCACAAGTTTTGAAAATTTCCTAGAAGTTCTTTATTACTTGTTTTGAACATAAATTGTGCGGTTTTGAATTTAACCAAATTATAAAATTTTAAAATATTTGACTTTACAAAAAGTGCGTGTGCTCCCAAAACCCCACTTTTTGAATAATCCTGACTGCTCTCTTTTGTAGCTTACAAAGTGGCTTTAGGTTGCTTTTGTATGTTACCCCAAATTTCCATACAACAAGACAGATATGGTAATACAATCAACAATGCTTTATGGTCCAGTATGTGTTGATCTTTCCCCAGTATTGCAAAACGTTTTGCCAGTTTTCTTATTTGAATAATTTGTGGTTTCCAGCAGATTTTATGATCCAATACAACACCCAGAAATTAAATTTCTTTTGTTCTTTCTTTTGTGTTTTTGCAGGGTCTTTTTTTTACCGAATGCCATGAATTAGATTTTATTAAAATTTAATGACAAGTTATTTAAATCACATCAATGTTTCAATTTTGTCATTTCTGTGGTGACTCTCTAAAAGCTGCTGGAGATTATTTCCTAGACAAAAGAAGTTAGTGTCACCTGCAAATAAAATATATTTGCACAGTTCTGATATTCTGCACATACCATTTACATATAGAATGAATAATTTTGGTCCCAATGCATTTTTTACAATGATGATTTACTAAAAACACAAAATAAAAAATAGGTAGTTAATTTTTTTATTATGTAGTATTTTGCAAATTTAGAGCAAACATAAAACATATTAATAACATGTAGGTTGAGTTTGTTGCAATATATCTTAAGAGAGTCTGGTCATGCTTAGCACACAGAGTATACATTTGCATAAGTGAACAGTGTTGTGCAAAAATGTAGAGGTTTAACATAAAGCTAACTTAGTATTATCTGACACCTGTATGCCCGGTGTGATAAAGAAATGTTTCATAAGTCTAAAAGTAATATAAATAATGGGTTAGTCTGGAACTAACCCTTTCTCTACATGCTCTGTGCTCAGTGACTGACATTGCTGATTTATAATATTTCCCATTCTTTAAGCCTTTTGCTTCCTCTCCTCCTGTGTTTCAAGATCAAAACCTTCATTCCAATAGGGGTTAAATTCAGCTCGACTCTGCGACTGTCTGATTCTGGAGCGGATCAGTTTGTAGAGAGCCACCACAGGGATGGAAATCACAGGCAGCACACAGAGGAGTACAATTATGGCAAACACCCAGCCTGGATATGACTTTACCTCAGTTTGAGGGAATAGTTCCTAAAAAAAAAGTGGTGTAAGTAATTAAAACAGATTCATTTGTAGATGTAGTTATTAACACAAAAAGGTGACATGTCACTTGTAGCACTGAACTTTTGAATAAATGTAAACAAAATGTTACTTTATGTGTGGTTGAAAGTTCTCTATGGTGGTTCTTGTAATTAGATTTCCTTTAGATTTTTTTGATTGATTTATTTTGTTTTACATGTTTTGTTTCTAATCATCATCATCATCTTCAACAACAACTTTATTTATAAAGAGCTTTAACACCAACCACAGCTGAAACAAATTGCTTAACATCAGTAATAAATAAATAAGATAAATAAAGCATAAAAATACAGTTAGAGAGATAAGATCAATACAAATAGAACATTAAGTAAAATCAAGTATCAGTTGGGTTGAAGGCCAATGAGTAAAAAGAAGTTTTCAGATGGATCTTAAAAATGGACAGTGAAGGGTCCTGTCAAATAATGCAAAAGTAAGGCATTCCGGAGCTTAAGGCCATAAACAGAGAAGACACTTTCTCCTCTAAGTTTCTGCTTATAGGTGGGAATGACCAGGAGCAGCTGGTCAGCAGACCTGAGGGACCAAGCAGGAGTGTAACGATGGAGGAGCTCTGTTAAATGCATTGGGACAAGGCTGTTTAAAACCGTAAAAACAAGAATTTTAAAATGAACTCTAAAGTAGAGCGGCACGGTGGCTCAGTTGGTAGAGCTGATGCCTCTCAGCAAGAAGGTCACCGGTTCAAATCCCGGTCCAGAAATACCTTTCTGGGTAGAGTTTGCATGCTCTCTCCATGCATGCGTGGGTTCTCTCCGGGTACTCCGGCTTCCTCCCACAGACCAAAAACATGACTGTTAGGTTAATTGATAACTCTAAATTGTCCCTAGGTGTGAGTGAGAGAGTGAATGGTTGTTTGTCTCTATGTGTGGCCCTGTGATGGACTTGCGACCTGTCCAGGGTGTACTCCGCCCCTCGCACTGTGACTGCTGGATATGGGCACCAGTGACCCACGCAACCCTGAAAAGGAAGAAGCGTGTACAGAAAATGGATGGATGGATGGATGGAACTCTAAAATACACAGGCAACCAGTGGGGAGAAGCCACAACAGGAGTAATGAGTTCTTTTTTATGTGTCCCTGTTAAAAAACGTGCAGCAGCATTTTTGCACCAGCTGCAGATGTGTGAGGGATGACTGGATGACTCTGAAATAAAGGGAATTGCAGTAATCCAGCCATGATGTAATGAAGGCGTGGATTACTGTTTCAAACTGGTGCCTTGGCAGAATAGATTTTATCTTTGCTATTTCCCGTAAATGATAAAAACTAGAGGCCTTTACTTGATTGTTGAGTTTAAAATCACTGTCCATCCTAAAACCAAGGTTTTTAGCTGTGGACCTGAGGTATGTTGCTAAGAGGTTTAAGTCAACTGGAGGGCTCTGACTACCTCCACTAGATAAAAAATAAACAAGTACCGCAGTCTTTTTTTTTTTCATTAAAATGCAGAAAGTTTAGGGCCATCCAATCTTCACGATCCTCAAGACATGATAAAAGAGGTTTAATGGACCAGGCATCAGCTTGTCTTAAAGGAACATAGATTTGGCAATCATCAGGATAACAGTGAAAGGAGATGTTGTGTTTTCTAAAAATTGAACCTAAAGGATGGAGATGTAAATAAAAGAGCAAAGGTCCTAGAATAGAACCCTGGGGAACCCCACATAGCAAAGGGGCAAAGGAGGATTCAAATCCTGCAATTTTTATAGAAAATGTTCTGTCTGCCGGATAGGATCTAAACCATTTCAGAGCAGTGCTACCATTGCCTAATTCAATGGGTTTTCTCAATTTAAACCAGGAAATGTAGAGTTCCAAGCTTTAATGGATTTTAATTGTAAATTCAAAGTATCTTTTTCTGAAGCCCATTTTCAAAAGAACCCTTTAGATGATTTATTTATTTGACTTTATTTAACCATAGAAATCCCATTGAGATCATTTTTGCAAGGGAGACCCAGACGGAAGTAGCCTGGCCCTTGCCTTCCTATGCAATTCCACCCAATTCTAGTTTCTGTTCTCTGCTTTGTCTGGGATTTCTCTGGTAGAATTTCAACCAGGCCAATCAGCAAACAGAAGGAGTCGTGAACAACAATGACATTGCTTTTCCGTGCCATTTTAGTCTGCCTGTAGTTTAGCAAAAATGGCAGTCAATGAAGTGAATGAAGCCAGTCTGTGTTGACAAGGCTTCCAAATTAAATAAAATTTGTCTCACAAAGCCTGCAGCATCATTTACAGCCTTCTTGTTTGGTTCTGTACTTCTCTGTTCCCAGTAGTGGATGGTTGTTTGCAGTGCATGTATTTTCCAGTTAGCTTCTTAGCTTAGCCTCCTTCACGGTCAAGCTAACGCACTACGTACGTCACGGATAAACCTTAGTGATTGGGTAAATCAGATCCAATCATTTTAAATTTCAACAAAGTCCATGCCTCCAACAAGAAGTCGCTTCTCAATAGCCAAGGTTCCAGAACCTCTGTACAAAGCAAAGCGAAGGACAGTGAGCTGTTTTTTACCAGGCTAAGCCAGAAGGCAACCTAACATGCATGTTTTTAGATTGTGAGAGGAAGCCAAAGTACCCAGAAAAAACCAACGCAAGCACGAGACTCTGGGTCCAAACCCGGGATTAAGGACCTTCCTACTGAGAGAAAATCAATGCTAAACACTTAGTTGTCATGCTGCCCAAAGACTGGACTTTAGTGCATTTTTAGAGCCTTAAAGTAGTTAGATAACATGGACAAATGTGGGAAGCAAAACCTAATGCTTGGTAAGTACATAGTAAGTAACTGGTACATAAAAGCCAAGCATATACTGTACCCTGTTAGTACAGAGTATTAGGTCACTTACGTACTGTCCTGTTCCCAAGGATACCACACATGTAATTGGTTTGTGCCTTGCAAGTACCTGGTTTGTGCTGAGCTATATAGTCCAAACATAATTGCATGTCATGATTTTTACATCATAATTTTAATAGTTGACAGTATAATTAGCACTGATTGTCAAACTAAGGTTCACATAATTTGTATGCTAAATACAGTGTGATATTCTTGTCCTTTCACAGCCAAAATTAGTTTCTATGTTACAAAAATAACTGAATATTGGCTTATGTTTTAATTCTACATGCGCTAATTTGAGTTTTCTTATCAGTTTAGTTGTCTTGCAATGCTTACATAGTTTGGGTCCCACGCTGGATACATCGGGTATTTCTGTGCCTGCATAACCACATAAGCAACTAACACCACCAGGAGCATGACTGGACTAATCACCATCCAACAGGCCTTCCAATAGATGTTGGGCCTCCTCCCAGTCATGAAATAGATGTCTTCACTGAAACTGTAAGAGGACACGATGCAAACAAGAAAATGTGGATCAAAGTTGTGAAAAAGTTTCAGACGATTTAAGAAATGGAGTGGAAAGAGAAGAAGAAGTTACGTTTTAATTCCATGGATGTAAATGACTCCAACAATCTCAAAGAATGCAATGATGAGCAGAGGTACAGAGCCCACATAGCTGTTAAAGACCTCCACCCAGTAGTTTCCTGAACCTTGGGTGAAGATCAGGGCCACCAAGAAGGAAACCAAGCAAATTATTCCTGAGAAAGTGAGGAAAACAATATTTCAGTGAAATCAATCAAATGTCTGTTTAAAATGACTTCAGCTGGATTAGGTACCTGTCAGAAGTTCAGTGGGAACCCACTTGGGAACCAGTTTGAGGTCATTGATGGGTGTGAGGATGCCCTCAATGTTGCCAAACATGGAGGAGAGACCCAGGCTGAAGAGCATGACGAAGAACAATATGGCCCATATCTGTGAGCCGGGCATCTCCAAGACAGCTTCCGTGAACACAATAAAAGCCAGGCCAGTACCTGAAGCACTCTTCGGGAGGAATAATATATATA